ACGCGAAATTCTTTGAACAAACTTGAGGAAAATCTATGTTTTTGGCCTCTGGCGGCGTTCTGGTGGGCGCTCTGAGGGCCCTCTTGGGCAATCTTGGGGGCTTTGTGGGCCCTATTGGGGCCATCTTGGGCCGTCTTGGGGCCGTCTTGTCCCGTCTTGACACCATCTTGAACCGTCTTCACGCCCTCTTGGATCCCCAAAAGGCTCAAGGTGCCCAAATCATCGGTTTTCCATAGGTTTTTCTAGATTTTGAGGCCCAGAAGGGGCCCTCCTCCTGAGGGTCGATGGAAGTGGCGCGACTCCAGGGGGGGGTAGGGGGGGACACATAATAATGTAACATGATACAATATGTAGGAATTATGCAAGCATTGGACACATTGGATCCATTGCATTACAGCATCCGCGGACCTGCCTCCGGCAACACGTCACTTCCGGACGTGGATTTTGCAGGCTTACGCCACATCCGCCGACCCCTTTGCGTTACATTTGGCACTGGAGGTGTTGGCACACCGTGGGCTTCCATATAGGATGCGAAATTGTGCGGAGGCGCTTGCGCGCAAAATGGGAATCTGAGTTTTTGTGTGGTTGCGGGCGTCCCGTGTTTTTTTGGGTGCGGGGTCTCCGTGTCGACTCCCCTCCCCCTTCTTGCAGTTTTGGTCTGGGCCTGGTATCGCGCGTTTCTGTTCAGGTTTGACTTTTGTGGATGCATGCGCCCTGACACGATGTCGACATTTCCACATGCCAGACGGAGGTCTTGTGGGGGGGAGTACGAGGGAAAGGTGGATTATCTCACATTCCTGAAGACCCACATGGGGTCGGCCGCATGTTTGTGTAGCTATCCACCCTGTGGCAGAGGATATCTCATGGCCTTCGGCGCATCCCGCCACCGTGCCGGAGTTGGGGGTATGAAGCCTATTGGATGTTCGTTGGGATCTCGTGGGAGGCCTCTCCGGGGCCTCTTGGAGGCAGCTTTGAGAACTCTTGGGGGCCGTTTGGGAGCCTTTTGGGGCCTCTTTTGGGCCTTTTGGGGGCCTTTTGGGGCCTCCTGGGGACCTCTTTGGGGCCTGTTGGGGCCTTTTGGGGGCGCCTCTGGGGACCTCCTGGGGGCCTCTTGGGGCGGTTGGCCAGGATTTTCGGTTCATGTTCCCTTTGTTGGGCCCCTGTTGGGGCCGTCTTGGGCCCCTCTTGGGGCCGTCTTGGGCCCCTCTTGGGGCCGTCTTGGGGCCCTCGTGGGCCGTCTTGGGGCCCTCTTGGAGGCCTCTTGGACCTTCTTGGGGCGATTTTAGGGGCCTCTTCGGCCGTCTCGGAACGTCGGGAAGCGTGAAAGGCGAGAAACTTTTAAGAACCTTCAAAACCTACGAGCCCTTACGGGATGTCGATAATTTGTGCCTCTTAGGGCTCTTTTGGGAGGCCTCTTGGGGCGTCTTGGCAGCTTCTTGGGTCGTCTGGAGGCCATGTTGGGCGCCTGGGAAGATCTTTCGGCGGCTGGGGGCCTTCTCGAACCGTCTTGGTGGCCTCTTGGTCGGGCTCCACAGCGTGCCCGTGGAGACCCGGACCCCTCTCGATGAGTTCGGTCGGGGGTCGGCGTAGGCCGGATTCCGGGTTCGGGGTCCCGCCGGGCGGGGAGGTTATGACGTGGGAGGAAGAGTGTCACGCGCCTAGAGACCCCCACAGGTGTCGGCGCATATCTATGTTTCAGGCTGGTGGCCGCGGAAATTATTGTCTCATATGAACAGATCACGTCCCTCCCCGTAAGACAAAAGGCCCCGCTCGCCCACTCCGCAGCCATGTTGGCTTCAGGGGCCGCGCACCCTCGGCGCGCTTGTGGGGCAGCACCCTCCATGCTCATCATCTCTGCCCCCCCCCCCCCCCGGAAGGCTCCCGCCCTTCGGCGAACTCTTTGGAACCCTACCCCTGCAGGCCCAATCGATGCTGAGTTCGCATCGAACTGTTTCAGCAATTTCAAGGATGTGGCTCGCGTTTCAGCGCGGTGCACCTTCGTCTTAGATTGTTGCAGCAAGCTCACTGGTGGAGGGTGCCTTGTTTTCAAAATTTGGCTCTCGCTCCAGCGCAGCGCAACCTCGGTGTAGCATATGCAAAAGCTTCGAAAGTGGAGGAGTTGGGGTGGGGGTCGTTTTCACAGTGTGAGTCCCGCCTCCGCGCCGCACACAGTCGTGGTATCATGTTGCAGACGTTTCAAGGATGGTTCACACGTCGTTTTCAAACTGTGTCTCTCGCCGTAGCACCCCGCACATTCGGTTTAAAATGTTCTATGTAGTTTAAGGATGGAGCACGGCACCGTTTCACATGGGTCTCGTGTTTGAGACCTTCTGAGATCTGAATGCCAGGCATGTGCAGACACATGTGCGCATACGTGTGCGTATGTATGCATGCATGCATAGATGTAAGCTTGGTTGTATGTATGCATGTATGTGTATATAAACATATATGTACATATCAGCTGTACTGACGGAGAACTGTTCCTTTCGAATTGAAGCTCTCGCTTGAGATATTCTCAAGCTCATGGCCAGAAGTGTAAACTCGTGCAACAGGTACACTGGTGGGGGGCGGTTTCTTTCAGAATGGGGATCTCGCTGGACACTCCGTTGAATTGCATGGTCTCGTATTCCCGATCATGTGCTAGCAGGATGCAGGGCAGTTCCTTCTCAAAACAGGCTTCTCGTCTGAATAGCAGGCCCATGTAGTGCTGGTCTATCAGGGAGGCGCTTGTTTCAATGAAAAAGGATGCTTGCAGAGACTCATGGAGAGGGGACTGCGGACAGGAAGGTCTGTTTCTGTACCGCTGATGCATCTTAAGTTTCTCCTGTCCATCTCCTCCACCCCCCCCCCACCCTCCCTACCTCGCTGCCTCCTCCCTCCCACCTGCCCACTGCGCGCAGGTGTGGTGGGGGGGGGGGAATAGAACAGGGAAGATGAGTAGGGGAGGAGGAGGAGGAGGAGGAGGAGGAGGAGGAGGAGGAGGAGGAGGAGGAGGAGGAGGAGGAGGAGGAGGAGGAGGAGGAGGAGGAGGACGAGGATGACGAGGAGGAGGAGGAGGAGACGGAGGAGAGGGAGCAGAGGGATGAGGATGAGGATGATTAGGAGGAGGAAGATGGAGGCAGGGAGGGAGGGATGGAGTGAGGGAGGGAGGGCGGGATGATGATGATGATGATGATGATGATGATGATGATGATGATGATGATGATGATGATGCTGATGCTGATGATGATGATGATGATGATGATGATGGTGATGACCATGGTGATGATGCTGATGATGATGGTAATGGTGATGGTGATGGTAATGATGATGATGATGCTGGTGGTGGTCATGATGATGCTTATGCGGCCGCTGATGATGATGATGCTGATGCTGATGATGATGATGATTATTACGATGACGATCACGTTGACGATGATGCCCATGGCGGCGACCACGATGACGACGATTATGTTGCTGATGATGACGCTGCTGATTATGATGATGATGCTATCGATGCTGATGATAATAGTGACGATGCTGATGATGATGACGATGATGATGCTGATGATGATGATGGTGCTGACGATTATGACGATGATGATGCTGATGACCATGCTCATGACGATGATGATGCTGATACGGATGACCCCAGTGATGATGATGCTGATGATGATGATGTTGATGGTGATGATGATGATGCTGGTGGTGGTGGTGATGATGCTGTTGATGATAATGCTGATGACGATTATGATCATGCTGCTGCTTATGATGATGCTGCTGCTGACGATGCTGCAGATGAGTATGATGCTGATGATGCTCATCATGCTGATGATGCTGATGATGATTATGTTGGTGGTGTTGATGATGCTTATGGTGTTGATGTTGATGAGGATGATTCGGATGCTGATGCGGATGACGATGCTGTTCATGGCCATGATGATAATGGTGATGCAGATGACGACGATGACGATACTGATGATGACCATGCTAATAAAGAAGAACCTGCTGATGCTGATGCTGATGATGATGATGCTCACGATGATGATGCTGATGTTGATGATGGTGCTGAATAATAATATGCTGATTATGACGAGGACTGTGATGGTGGTGGTGCTGCTGATGATGCTGATGCTTATGCTCATGATGGCAATGATGATCATGATGCTGGTGATGACAATGATGATAGTGATGACGATGGCAATGCTGATGATGAACATGCTGATGATGGTGATGATGCTGATGATGATGATGATGCTTATGATGATAGTGGTGATGCTGATGCTGGTGCTGATGCTGCTGATGATGATGGTGATGGTGGTGATACTGATGATGCTGATGATGATGATGATGATCATGATAATGGTGATCAGGATGATGATGTTGATGAGGATGATGCTGATCAGGATGATGATGTTGATGAGGATGCTGATGTGAATGATGATGCTACTGATGGTGATGATGAGGATGATGATGATGATGATGATGATGCTAATGCTGATGATGATGATGATGATGATGATGATGATGATGATGATGATGGTGATGATGATGATGATATGATGCTGATGCTGATGATGATGCTGATGATGATGATGATGATGATGATGATGATGATGATGATGATGATGATGATGATAACGATGATGATAACGATGATGAGTATGGGTAGGAGGAGGAGGAGGAGGAGGAGGAGGAGGAGGATCAGGAGGAAGAGGAGGAGGAGGGGACGGAGAAGGAGGAGGATGAGGAGGAGGAGGAGTTGGACGAGGAGGAGGAGGTGGAGAAGGGATGAGTAGGAGGAGGAGAAGGAGGAGGAAAAGGAGGATGAGGAGGTGGAGAAGGGCGTAGGAGGATGAGGAGGTGGCGAATGTCTTGGTCATCACGCTGAGCTGGCACGCAGCATCGATCATCGAGGGTGAGGTCGAGAAGGGAGGAGGGAGGCCGACAAGGACGACAAGTCCGATGAGGGCGACGACGGCGACGGCAACGACGACGGCGACGGCGACGCCGCCCGACAGGAGAAGCATGACGAAGAGGTGCAGTCAGCCGCGTACCAGCAGTTCTGCGCCGACACCTCGGCCGAGAAGGACTGGCGGCTGGCACAGGTCTGGCCCAGCCTCTCGCGCCGTGTCGGTGCCCCATAGAGATCCCCTTGATCTCTTGAAGGGTGCCCCTGCAGGCCGTGGGGCTCTCCCTGACAGGTTCAGTTCCATCCGATTGAGCGGGTTCGACATCGATTCTGGCCAGCCCGATGGGGACGAGGAGGAGGAGGAGGACCAGTGTAAATCCAAGACTCACCAACGACGTTGGAATAAAGCCTCCCTCCAAGCTCCCTCTTCATAGGCCCCTAGAAGGGTTCATGCTCACTGAGAAATGCTTCGTTGGGAGACAAATGTTTGAAGGTCCTGAAGGGTGCCAAAAAACCATCCTCGGACCTTCAACGCCCCGAGTCAACCTGACTGCGGCGATCCTGAATCGTGCCAGAACACCTTTCCTGGAACTTCTACGTCGCGAGTCAACGTATCTTCTGCGCCCTAACATCCCTGAATCGCTCCAGAACGCCATCTCTGGCTAGTTAAACATGGGAACCCGTAAAACTCTTGAGCATTGTTAGTAATGCATGCGCGCGGCGCTAATGCGAGGGGCTCATTTTGAAAAGGATCCGTTTTCAATCCGTAAAGGTCTTGCACATTTGTAGTAACGAATGTAGGGGGTGAGGCGAGCGCCACATTTTGCAAACGATCCGCCCTCAATCCGTGAAGCTCTTGCATTTGTTTGAAACGAGCGTGCGCGGCGCTGAGGCGAGAGCCACGTTTTGAAACCCATCCGCCCTCAACCCGTTAAGCTCTTGCAGATTTTATATCAAATGCGCGCGGCGCTAAGGCAAGAGTCACATTTTGAAAACTTCCCGGGCTCAATCCTTGAAGCACTTGCAATCTATAATAACGAATGTGAGCGGTGCAAAGGCGAGAGCTATATTTTGAAAATTTCCCGCCCTCGATTCATAAAGCTCATGTAATACCCTGTAGCGCCCCTCACGGGGGTAGAAACCAACTGGGTGCAGTTTACTCCGTGGAGCGTCGTGTTGTCTCCTCCTCCACTCGTGTTCTTGCGCCAGACGTCCACCCCTGAGGCTCTCGGAAGTTTCCACAAGGCTCGCAGGTGGTCGGAAAAATGCCCCGAACATCGAAGACTCAGTTATTCGAGGTTTCGTCTTCGACTCCGTTCCCAGAGCCCCGACGTGGTGTCTGTTCATCGTGTCGGCGCCCTTGTTGTCGTGAAATTCTCCTCGGAGGGCCTCTTTGTGACGCTCCCGAGAGAGGGGAGGAGGGAGGAGGGAGGAGGGAAGGAGGAGGGTGGAGGGAGGAGGACGGATCGGGAGGAGGCGGATCTCGCGCACGGCGCTATCGGAGCCATCGAGGCTACGGATGAGGTAGGAGGAGGAAGAGGAGGAGGAGGATGAGGAGGAGGAGGAGGAGGAAGAGGAAGAGGAAGAAGAAGAGGAGGAGGCGGAGGAGGAGGAGGAGAAAGAGGAGGAGAAGAAGGAGGAAGAGGGGGAGGAAGGATTAAAAGCAGGACCGATGAGGAGGCGGATGACGACGAGGAGCAGGAGGAGAGGGAATGACGCCCGTCCTGGAGCCTCTTGGTGTCGCCTTGGCTCTCCTAGATCGTGCTGGGGGTCCTGTGGCCTGTTTGGGTTCTTCGGGGCCTTTTGGGGCCTCTTGGAGCCTCGTGGGCCCTCTGGAGCTCCCTGAGTGTAATTCAAAATGGGTTCTATGGGGTGCTCTTGAGATATCGTGCGCTCTCCCGGGGCCGCCATGGGCCCTCCTGGAGCCTCCGTGGGCCCTCTCAGAGCCCTCTCGCGGGGGCGGAATGATGAAAACAATTTCACGCATGGGGGCCTTTCCGTTGAGAAGGGGGGCGCGGTGCAGAGTGGGTCCTCCTGGGGCTCTCCGGAGATCTCCTAGGCACTCCCGAGGCCGCCATGGGCCTTCCTGGAGCCTCTGGGGGCCTCTAAGAAGCCTCTCGCGGGGGCTGAAAAATGACGACAGTTTCACGGATGGGAGCCTTTCCGTTGAGAAGGGGAGCGCGGTGAAAGGTATTAAAGTGACGACAGTGTCGCACTTGAGGACCCAAATCGTCCTTGGGCACCTCGGGCGCGAATCCCGCTCCCCCATAGTACGGTGCGATTTCCCCTCCTCCCGCTGTCCCGCCGGACCCCGGGAGGGTGATGTTTATGGTTTTCGCTTGGAAGAAACACTTCCCCCCCCCTCTCGACGGTGACAGAGGGCAGGCGGCGGGGGTGGGCGGGTTGGCGGGGTGGCGGGTTGGCTGGGGTTGCGGGGCGGCTGGTTGGGCTGGTTGAGCCGATTGAGTTGTTTGGGTGGCTGGTTGGTTGGGCTGGCTGGTTGGGCTGGCTAGGGCAATTGGTTTCGAGTGTAAGACGGGCGTGCGCGGCGCTGAGGCGACAGCCACATTTTGAAAACGACCGGCCCTCAAAGTGTGAAGCTCTTGCATTTTCTTGAAACGAATGTGCGCGATGCTGGAGAGAGATCCACATTTTGAAAACCACCCGCCCTCAATCCGTGAGGCGCTTGCAGTTTTTTAACGAATGTGCGCGGCGCGGAAAGGGATAACCGCATTTGAAAACGACCCGCCCTCCATCCGTAAAGTTCTTGCCATTGTTTGAAACGAGCATGCGCGGCGCTAAGGCGAAAGCCACAGTTTGGAAACGACCCGCCCTTAATCCGTGAAGCGCTTAACAACTTTTTGAAACGAATGTGCGCGGCGCTAAGGCGAGAGCCACATTTTGAAAACCACCCGCCTTTTATCCGTGAAGCTGGTGCCACTTGTTGATCTCCAGGGTCATATATGGTAAGGAAGTCTCAGGCGAAACGCCTGGCCCGCCCTTTCGACCAGCCTCGGGGTGAGAGGGAGAGGTCATCGATGAGGAGAAGGAGGAGGTGGAGGAGGAGAAGGAGGGAGAGGATCGGTACTCGTCGTCGTCGTCGTCCTCTTCCTCCTCCTCCTCCTCCTCCTGAATCATCGCCGACAGGACGCTGCGTGGAGTTCCCGAGCAGCAGGACGATGAGCAGAAGTAAGATGTAGATGAGAAGTAGGAGGGAGGGAGGGAGGAGGGGAAGGGAGGGAGGAGGAGGAGGAGGGGGGGGAGGAGGAGCAGTAGGAGGAGAGGCAGCAGGAGGAGCAAGAGGATGAGGAGGATGAGGGTCCTCTGAGCTGTCCCTTCCGCCATTTACTTTGTTCCCCTCCCTGCCCCAAATTGTCCGGCTGGCGCGAATTCTGCAGGAGAAGGCCATCAAGGAGGCCGACGAGAAGATCGAGGTGCTGAAGGTGGAGCCAGGGGAGGAGGAGGAGGAGGAGGAGGAGGAGGAGGAGGAGGAGGAGGAGGAGGAGCTGAATGATGAGGATATTACAGGGCGGAGGAGGAGGAGGACGAGGAGGAGGAGGGAGGAGAAGGAAGAGGAGGAGGAGGAGGGAGAGGAGGAGGAGGAGGAGGAGGAGCAGGAGGCGTGGGGCACGAGAGCGAGGCATGAAGATGATTACGGTCAGGAACGTTTGGTTAGCGTGTCGCGCCGCCCGTTCTGGCCCACCGCGCTTCGGCGCGACACTCTAACTACGTACCAGTCCCCGAGCGTCAACGTCCGGGGCCTTTCCCAGCCTTCCGTCCCGCGAAGCGGAGCGACACGCTATCTGCTTGCAGGGCATAGCGTGTCGCCTGGCCGCCCCCGCGACACGCTAAGCAAAACATCCCGACCAGAAGTCGTTAGTGATGATGCAGGTGTTCGTGTTGCTGATGCTGTTGATGATGCTGCGGTTGACGACCATGGTGATGATGCTGAGGTGATGATGATGATGATGATGGTAATGTTGCTGACAATCATGATGCTGATGGTGATGATGATTCCGATTCTAACGATGATGCTGTTGCTAATGATGCTGCTGATGATGATAACAATGGTGCTGATGATGCTGATGATGCTGGTGATGATGACGATGCTGACGATGGCGATGCTGATGCTGCTGATGATGATCATGATGATGGTGACGACGATGACGATGATGATGATGATGATGATGATGATGATGATGATGATGATGATGATGATGATGATGATGATGATGATGATAATGGTGATGACGATGACGATGTCAATGGCGATGAAGATGATGATGATGATGCTGATGATGATGCTGATGATGATGCTGATGATGGTGATGATGATGACGACGACGGAGACGATGCTGACGATGCTGATATTGATGATGATGAAGGTGATGATGATGCTGATGCTGATGCTGATGATGATGATGATGATGATGCTGATTATATCGATGATGATGATGATGATGATGATGATGATGATGATGATGATGATGATGATGCTGATGCTGATGATGATGATGATGCTGATGATGATGATGACCATTATGACCATGATGAGTAGGTTGACGACGAGAACGAGAGGAGATGCCCAACTATCAATCGGGGGAAAAGATGGTACGGATAAAGCGAGGAGGAGAAGGCGGAGGAGGGGGGGAGGGCTCCCTTCCGTACCCCGCACCCGTCCTCCCTCTTCCCCCCCACCTGCCCCCTCTTCCCCGTCCCCACCTCCTCCACCTGCCCCCACTCCCTCCTCCTCCTCGTCGTCATCGACCTCCCTCTCCTCAGTCTCCTTCTCCTCCTCATCCCTTTCTCTTCCTCCTGCCTCATGCCCGTGCCCAGACTCCTCCCACTCTTCCTGCCCCTCTCCTCAGGCCTCCGACGTCATACCCAGCTGCCTGCAGCAAGTCCCGCCACCGTGCCAGCCCAGCATGCTCGACGGCTCTCCTTCGAGGGGGCACCAGAGGCCGTACTTGCGAGGGAGCATCATGATAACGATGATTATGATGTTGATGCTGATGATGCTGATGCTGATTATGATGATGTTGATGCTTATGATACTGATGAGGATGATGCTGATGTTGGTGAAGATGCCGATGATGATGATTATGATGATGATGATGTTGGTGATGATCCTGATGCTGATGATGATGATGCTGGTGCTGATACGGTGGATGCTGATACTGAGGATGCTGATGATGATGATGATGATGTTGGTGATGCTGATGATTATGCTGAGGATGCTGCTGATGCTGATGATGATGCTAGCGATTGACATTCTGATGGTGATGATGTTGTTGATGATGGCGATTACGATGCTGACGATGATGATGCTGGTGGAGGTGATGGTTATGATGTTGACGCTGATGCAGATGGTGATGATGATGCTGATGCTGATGCTGATGCTAATGCTGATGCTGATGTTGGTTATGATGATGCTGTTGATGATGATGTTGGTAATGATGGTGCTGATGATGCTGATGCGGATGACGACGATGATGCTGATGCTGATGCTGGTGATGACGATGGTGCCGATGATGGTGATGTTGCTGGTGATTACGGTGGTGGTTGTGGTGGATGTGATGATGGTGATGCTGATGCTGCTAATAATGATGGCGCCTGGGCTGATGATGACGATGCCGACGATGATGACGACGATGCTGCCGATAAGGACGGCGATGATGATGATGGTGATGATGGTGGCGGTAGTTGTGGTGGAGGTGGTGGTGGTGGTGATGGTAGTGGTTGAGGTGATGGCGTTGATGGTGGTAGTGGCGGTGGTTGCGATGCTGATGATAGTGATGATGATGATGGTGGTGACACTGATGATGCTACTTATGCTGTTGATGATGATGGTGGTGGTGATGATGACGCTGATGGTGGTGAGGCTAATGCTGATGATGGTGATGCTTTGGATGACGATGATGCAGCTGATGATGATACTGATGATGGTGATGATGATTGTGATGATGCTGATTCATGATGATGCTGATGATGCTGATGCTCATGACGATGATGATGTTGATGATGATGATGTTGATGATGATGATGCTGATAATGATGATGATGATGATGATGATGATGATGATGCTGATGCTGATGATGATGATGAGGATGATGATGATGATGATGATGATGTATGATGGTGGTGGAGGTGGTGGCGGTGAGAGTGGGCGGTGATGATGCTGATGATGGTGATGATGATGCTACTGATGATGATGCTGGTGATGATGATGATGATGATGATGATGCTGATGATGATGATGGTGATGATGATGGTGGTGAGGATGATGCTGCTGATCACGCTACCGATGCGGCTGTTGCTGCTGCCGAGGATGATGATGATGATGGTGATGGTGGTGGTGGTGGTGATGATGATGCTGAGTATGATGGTAATGGTGAATATGATTATGATGCTGATGCTGATGATGACGATTTTGATGCTGATGATGGTGATGTCGATGATTGTGATGATGATGATGATGATGATGATACTGGTGGTGGTGATGATGCTGATGTTGATGTTGATGCTGGTGATGATGCTGATGATGCTGATGATGATGATGCTGATGCTGATGCTGATGATGATGATGATGCTGCCGATGACGATGATGATGATGATGATGATAATGATAATGATGATGATGCTGATGATGATGATGACGATGATGATGATGATGATGATTCTGATGCTGATACTGATGCTGATGATGATGATGATGATGCTGATGATGATGCTGATGATGATGATGATGATGATGATGATGATGCTGATGCTGATGATGATGATGATGATGATGATGATGATGATGATGATGATGATGATGATGATGATGATGATGATGATGATCGTTGGGATGTCGTGGGAGACCCCTCGAGGCCTCTTGGGGGCCGTCTGGCGGCCTCTTGGGGACCTCTTTGGGCCCTCTTTGGGGCCTCTTGGGGCTGCTTCGGGGTCTCTTGGGGTCTCCTGGGGGCCTCTTCGGGCGGAAGGCTGGAATTGTCGGTCGTGTTCCCCCTCTTGGGTCACTCTTGGGGCCGTCTTGGGGTTCTCTTGGGCTGATTTGGGCGCCTCTTGGGCCGTTTTGGGGCTCTCTGGGGCCGTCTTGAGGCCCTCTTGGGGGCCTCTTGGGCCGTCTTGGGGCTGTCTTGAGGCCCCCTGGGGCCGTCTTAGAGCGTCGGAAGCTTGAAAAGGGGATAAGGTGAAGCACATCGATCAGCATAATGAACATCATTGCTGTTTGCCTTTTGCGGCCCTGGAGGGGGTCCTCTTGGAGCGCTCTCGGGGCTTATTTAGGGCCTCTTCGGCTGTCTCGGAGGCATCTTGGGCCATCTTGGCGGCTTTGGTGGAAATGAAAAAATCTTGGCGGCTTTGGTGGCCTCCTAGGTCACATTTGGGGATTTTGGACGCCTTGGAGACCGCCATGGACTTGCCTGGGCGCCGACAGCCTTGGGAAGAGGGTGGACGAGGAACGGCGTGGAGGGGGGTCCTTCAGAAGGTTACAGGAACCTCACCAGATAGCACTTGGCATTCTTGCACCCTTTAACGTGGACAGGGGGCACGGTGGCGGATTTGGTCCTAAACAGCAAATGCTGCAAAGGGTTTGACATCTTGGAAGCAAAGGCGATTCTAAGCTCTAGATTGCGAAACTGTTGCCCCGTGCGCGCTGTGCCCACGTGCCGTGCAGCGCCGTGCCGTGCCTGGAGTTTTCTAGAATGCGACAAAGTTGCCGCCCGCGTGCTTAGGTTCAAGAGCGCGAAAAAGTGGCCGCCCGCCGTGCCGTGCCGTGCAGTTCGGTGCCGTGCCGTGCCGTGTACGCGTGCCGTGCCTAGACCTGAAAGTTTCGAGTTGCGACTAATATGCTGCTGGAGTGCCTTGCCGCGTTGTGCCCGTGCCGTGCTGTGCTTGTGTGCTTGTGTTCTAGGGTGCGAATATCGTGCTGTGCCGGGTGCGCAAAATGTGCAGTGCGGTGCTTGGCGTGCCTGCGTGCCATGCCGTTCCATACCGGGCTTAAGTTCAGGATGTGACGGATGTGCCGTGCCGTGCCTGCGTGCCGTGCCTGCGTGCCGTGCCGTGCCGTGCCGTGCAGTGCACACGTCGTTCAAAGCGGAAATATGCTGTGCCGTGCCGTGCTTGTGTTCTGGAAGGCGAATGATGTGCCTTGCCGTGCCGCGCTGCTGTTCTAGGATGCGAAAAATGAGCCCTGCCGTGCCGTGCCTGGGAGATATAATGAGAAACATGTCCAGTGCCGTGCTGTGCCTGCGGGCCGTGCCGTTCTTGTGTTCCAGGATGCGGAACAATGCAGTGCCGTGCCGTGCTTGCGTGCCGTTCCGTGCCGTGCCGTGCCTGTGTTCTAGACTGCGAAACATGTGTCGTGCCGTGCCTTGCCGACCATGCGTAATCTGATGCAGCGTTGGTGTTCAGAGTCTCCATGCCAGTGTAACTTATCACTTGGCCCCTGGAACTCTAGACCTCGTCATGGGGACAGTTCTGTCGTCCCTGGATTTGTTCGATGGTTACGGTACCGAGAACGCACCTCCAGATGCCCCAAATTCTTGACGCCTCGCATATCCACACCAGGTCATCCAGAAACGATGCGCAGTTGAGTTGCATCGGCCAAGGAAGTGAGGTAGGATGCAGTGGAACAAAGGTGGGGCAGCCGTCGAACCGAAGATCGGGATCGGCCTGAGCAGGCCCATGAGTCAACCATAGCATGCCTTCGCGGATCTTTCGGTGCGGGAGCCTCTTGGCAGCTTACTTGGGCTCTCTTGCGGCAATTTGGCAGGCCTGCGAGACTCCATTGGAGCCCTCTTGGGGCTCTGTCTGGGCCATCTCCTTGGGTCTCTGTCACAGCTGGCCTCGACGGGTGGGCTTCCGGCGAATTGGGGGGGTTTTGCGACGCACCTGCCGCGCCTCGCCGAAGAGATTCGTTTGGTGCTCGTCCGTGTCGTCGGGGACCCCGAAGAGTGGCCTGCCGCCCGTTCGCTGCGTTTTTCCGGTCTTCGAATTGCTGGCGTCCCGAAGCGGGCGTTTGATGATGCTCGGGCTGTCGCTGTCGCCCTCCTGTGTCTCCGGGCGTGGCGCAGTTGCTCGTTGCGTTTCCTTCCCCCTCCCCCTGACGGCGCCTGGGGTGAGAAGGGGGCATTGCGGTCCTTCGCGGACTGGGCCGCCGCGCCGGACGAGGTCGAAGCCGAGGTGGACATGGAGAAGGCTTACGACTCTGTCGCTCGCAGGGTTGCGACCCACGCTCTTTTCCACCAAGGTGCGCCGCCTGCCGTGGTGCGCTGCCTGGTGCAGAGTTGGCGTGCGCCTCGGCTCTGCTCGGTCGGGGGCTGCCTTCCTCCACCTGGTTCGGGAGGTGCTGCCTGGGTGTCCGTGCAGTGGCCGTGCCCTGAGATGCGTCCTGGCACCGCGGCGCGCTCGTTTCAGGGCCCTCCAGACCCCCACTGGCGTCTGGTCGCACGTGGCTGACCGCTCGTCTGAGGCCGCTGACAGGGAGGCGTGGGACGTCGCCCCCGACGAGAGAGTTTCGACCCGCGGATTGGCGGCGGAGCTTGCTCCCGCCCGCTTGTTACGCTGTTGAGCATCTTGCAGGGGGGGCCTTCGGACCCCCACCCAGCGGTGGCGTGCGAAGCGCGCTCAGGTGTGTCCGCGGCGCCCCGAGCTTCATGGCTCGGCGCGACACCTGTGGGCGGCCTGCCCACGCTGGGACGAGGATCGCGCCCGCCTCGGCGCTGACTTTCGGATCTCGCCAGCGCGGTGGGGGGCCTTTCGGTCCTGCGTGGCGGCTCAGACGGGCTGGGTCACGTTCTCGGCCGGGCCATCAGCCAAGCGGCGCGCCCAGCTGCAGGTCGCAGCGTGCGGCTCGGCCTTGAAATCCTCTGGGGGCTCCTGTTGCCAGCTGGGGTGTCCTGTGCTGGCTCCGGGGGCGGCGGCGGCGGCGATGGTATGGCTGCGTGGGGCGTTCCCCCGCGTGGTCACGGTGGCCCCGGGGTCGTTGCGTCGGGGACGCGAATATTACAGGATTTGCCAGGGATTGCGGCCCCGGGGACGTGAACATCGCGCAATTCACGAATGGCGTTGGCCTCGAGCATAATTTACAAGGGAACATGGCCTCGGGGGCGCGACTATTGCATGATCTCCGAGGGATCGTTACCTCGGGGACGCGAATACGGTGTTATTTACGAAGGGTCCTAGCCTCGGAAATGTTAGTATTGCAGGCTTTACTGAGGGATCGTAGCTTTGGGAACACGAACATGGTGTACTATATGGGGGATCGTAGCCTCGGGTGCGCGAGTCCCACGTATTTTGCGTGTCGCACGGCCCCGCAGGAATTCTGAGCGCGTGATTAGGGGACGCTAAAACGTTAAAGTGAGGGTTTTGGGCTTCCTCCCCTCGCGCGATGGCTGACACTTTGCAGGAAGCAAAGAGGATTATAACATGGAAGACTTGAGAATCTGGAACTGGCGCAGGGAGCAGCGAACCTAATCCGCGCAACCAGATGGCCTGACAAAGGGGTTGGCGGAGATTGTGCAGCATATCTTGCACGACATAGGTTGCATACCATACATACCACAACATATCATGCACACACACACACATTATAACACAAAACACACACACACACGCACACACGTACATACGTTCATGCACACACATATATACGTTTACATGTAGTCATAAACATGGTGCTTGGGGTCAACGGCGGCTAACATACCAATGAAGTTTCCCGGAGGGGAAGAAGGGGTATGGCATAATCAACTCCCGGGGGGCCCACCCCGCTCATCGAGTTGCGTGCGTTCTTTGCTACAAGGGTTTCCCAGGAGGCCCTAAACCGGTTCCGTGGACGTCCATCAACCTCCATCCTTTCCTCCTCCCTTATGGAAGCTGGCCCCAGGGAGGGGGGGTGGACGCATTATGCGCGGTCAATTTCGATTCAACCGATTCTATTGTTTGATATCGATTTCGGCCTGCCCGATCCGATTCGATTCTGATTTTCCGACGCGCCGATGCGGCCCGATGCCTGCACGTCGCTGCTGTGCATCCTGGCACGGCCGATCTGATTCGATCTCGAATCCGTGCAGACGTCGCCCGATCCGACGCACATTCCGATTCAATCCGCTTTCCCGACTCGGTGCTGACAGATCTTGCCTCGCCCCTTTCGGTTGTCGGGCCGCCCACCTCCGGGTCCCGCCACTCTTGGGAAGGCTGACATCGAGAAGTACGAGGCCACCGCGGCTCAGTTGACGAAGGAAATCGCGGGCCATGAGGCCGATATCGCCACGTGGGATGGCGACATGGCGAAGGCGACCGAGGTGAGGAACACCGAGAAGGCCCCGGCTGGGCCAGATGCCCTTTAGCATTGTGGCGCGCCAGTCAGCCAGTCTTCCAGAGGGACCGCACCGCGGTTGCTTCGGCTTGCCCCTCCATGACCTACTTCATGACAGCGGTATTTCCAATTCCATGGGGCCTTAAGGACCGAGCCTTGTATACCATTCTTGGTGTGTTCACGCTTGTTCATATGAGCATGCACATAAAGCAACGATATATTGTGCGTACGTGTGTGTTACGATTTGCGTTGTCCCGAAGAGGGTCTGCGTTTGAGTTCGGTCCACGTGGGTCCCCAGAGGCCTAGAGGCCCCCCGCCAGGCCAAGATGGCCCCAGCGTGCCCAAGGAGCTTCCAAGCTGATTAGAGATGCCCCAGGACGCCCCCACGAGGTCCCCGAGCGGCACGGAGCTTTCGAGATGGCCCCGACCCCCAATGAGTCTCTCAAGAAGGTCCCATGCCCTCAAGACATTTCAAAATATTCGACGATTGCCCGACTGCCCATGACGGCCGAAGACGCCACAAAACTGTCCCGAACGGTCCATCAGAGCTTTCCAAGACAACGACGCACCCACACATGCAACACAACACACCATATTGCCAGCACGAAGCACACATGCACATGAGACGCTGAATTTCTTGTCAAGGTTCCCTGTCCGATTTTAACGGGTCCACGAATCAGTGACGTACCCGGAGCTTCGCCCGGGGTAGCAGTGGGCTATTGTTAGTTATTTATTGTGCGTTCCACTAGTGCGGCCCGCGGCACCTCTCACACTCGATTAGAGCTGTGGGCCTGGCCCCGTCTGGAGAGGCCGCGTACGACGACGAGCACAAGGACCTCTCGGAGTCCGTGTCCGCGCTCGAGCGCGCCATCGAGGTGCTGAAGAAGCAGGCCTACAACAGGAAGCAGGCGTCCCTCGTGCAGGCTCCAGCCGCGAGGGCGGACAAGGGAATGGGCCGAAGCTCAGTTCAGTCCAGGACGAGCAGGCCGTCAGGTTGAAGCAGGCGTCCAGGACCGTCAGGCCAAATCTCGGCGTCCAGGACCAGGACAGTTCAGTTCAGGAGAGTCCGGGCCAGGTCTTAAGTGCGGGAGTAGCATGCCTGTTGGAACTCCAGGTTCGAGCGCCACATCCGAGCCTGAGAGCGGCTCTGCCCCCTTGATCGGTTCCCCACTCTCCTGTGGAGTCTGGTGACGCGCCGCACCGCGCGCCCCCTCGTGTGAGGGAGGGAACAGATGGTCAACCCAACCCAAGATCACCTGAGCCGATGGAGCAGCGGATGAGGAGAGGAAGGAGGTGATAAAGGGTAGACACGCACACTCCCCTCCTCCTCCTCCTCCTCCTCCTCCTCCTCCTCCCCAATTTTCCACTTCTCCCGCATCCTTTCCTCCTTGTCCGCGCGTGTGCCCAAGCATATGCCGCCCCTCCGCTTTGGCGCACTCCCATCACCCGTTTCGGCTGCGGCGACTGCGCCGGCGTACGCGTCCGCATCCCCACGTTCTGGCGCACCCCTTGCGCACTGCGTCCTGTGTCGATGATCCTCAGGACGTGTTCTGGCCCCATGTGTGCTCACCCCGTTCAGCTCCGCCGACATTGCGCAGTCCATGTCGGCCCTCATTGCAGCTCCTGCGTCGTGAACAAGTCGGCGCTAGCACACGTTCTCAGGATCGTCGACTGTGCTCCACAGGGGTCCCCAACAACGGCGCCGGTCGGGGCGTCCGCAGTCGTCCCTGCCTCCCCCTTGCACAGCTGGAGGTCTCATCGGCAGCCCCAAACACGGCGCCATTGGACGCGCCTGCGCTCGCGCACCCCTACTTGTGGGGGTGCTTCACTTGCAATTTTCGCCCGCTCCACCCCTCCCCAATGGGGAGCCCCAGCCACGGCGCAGACAAGCCACGATCGGGGGAGCTGCGGTACTCCTCCCTCCCCTGGGGGACCCAGCGGCATCGCCGATACGATTGATTGCCCCGTGGGGGTAAGAAACACAGCTCCCCCAGTGCGCTTGTGGGCACCGGACTAGGTCGCCCGCCTTGGCGCGAAGCTAACCGCGCTTCGCGCGTCGCGGTCTGGGCCATGGCAGCCGTGCTTCCCCAACGTGGGCCGGCGCGAGGGCGCGAAAGTAATCGCGGGGTGAGGTGGAGCCAAGCGAAGCGAACGCTGGAGTCGTGCGCGCTCCTCTGGGGAGCCCGCCCGTGCCCCCCAAGGCACGTTGTGGAGGCCATGGCCCCAAGCCGCTCGCCTCGCTCCCCTCTCGCGGCAGCCCTGCGGGCAGGTGCGGGCCCTGCAGAGCGTCAGGCTTATCCCCGACGACGCCAAGAAGGCAATCGCGACCTTCCTGCAGGACGACCCCGCGGAGGAGAGCCTGCTCTCGCTGTCTGCGCCAGAGGCCTTCGGGTACGAGTTCCAGTCGCACGGCATCGTCGAGATGCTCTCCAAGCTGCTCTCCAAGTTCTTCAGCGAACGCACGACGGTGGAGAAGGAGGAGCTGGACAGGAAGAACGCGTACAAGCTCACCATGCAGGACCTCGCTGTCCGTGGTGCACACATCGTTTGAATTCTCCTCTACGGGCCTTCTCCTCCACCTCCTCTCCTGTTTCACGATCTTTCACTTGCGCATTGAGGTGACGAGCTCAGGGGATGCAGGCTTGTTGCATCGTGTAGGTGGTGGGAGGGGAGGTAGAAATGCAGGACCTCACGGCCCAGAGCGACCAGGCCAAGCAGGACGTCTCGGACAAGACCCAGTCCAAGGCTAAGAACCTGGAGATGGCGGCGGAGGCCAAGGCCGACATGACGGAGACGCAGGCGGCGCTTGGTAAGTTTTGGCGCCGTCATGGATCCTGACCCCACGGTTCATCCCCGGCCTCGGGAGGCTCCTGGAGGCAAGAAAATTAGCAGACTCGTCCGAAACCGAACGGAGTTCGTTCAGAAGCCTCCTCCCTCCCCGGTCTTCGAGGGCCGAGGGCAGGACTCAGACCTGGCACAGCAGGCGACGCGCGACGCCGACAAGAAGTACCTGGACGATCTCAACGCCATCTGCGCCACGAAGGCCGCGGACTTCGAGTCGAGGCAGGCGTTGCGCGCCGAGGACGGGGGGACCTGCGCCAGCGAGAGAGAGCTCAGGCACCGGGTCCTGGCCGGGCCAGCCCGGGGCCCACTGCGGGCCTGGCCAGGATCGTCGTTGGCGCAGACAGCCGGCACGCGGGTTGAGGACAACCTTACAGCTTTCGAGGGGTACCCTGATGTTCTTCCACTTTGAGTTCTCTACCCTGGAACGTCCGTCCTTCCGGGGATCTCGATGAGACCTTGGGCCTTTATCGAGGGCGCTCGTGCTCATGGCCCGCATTCTGATGGCCACGCTTCGTGGGTACAGCGTGCACGTTAGATGAAGCGAAGCAGCTTGCCACCCGCAGATGGCATGTAGACACTACCATGTATGATCCTGGCCAGGCGTGGTGGTTGTCAGGTGCCTGCTGCGTGTGCCAGCAAGGGCCGTACGGAAATTTCATGTCTCCTGGGGCCCACGCGGGCCGACGGGGGCCTTGCGGCACCCTGGTGGTGAGTTTGAAGGACGGCAGGTGTGCCCCCAGACTTCGTTACAGCAGAGTTTCTTATAGCATGTGCGGAGGCGGGGGCGACGACATCGCGCGCGTTCAGGGTAAAGCGCCGCCGGTGGCCTGGACTCGGCCGACATCGAACGATCCTGCGCCATTGAGAGGCCGCGTTCGTGCAAGGTCGAATGATCCATGCGGTGTCAGAAACCGCTGCGCAGGTCGTGACGGCACGAGGCCAGCGTCAAGGCCGTACAGTCGAGGCGCTGAAACAGGGACCATTTTGGGCTCAGCCAGTGCTCTGGTTCTTGGGCCGTTCCTGAAATCCAGGTCGGGGCACCTGCTCGTGGCCGAGGCTTGCTGTGGCTAGAAAAGTCCCTTCGTTCCTCATCCAGCGCCTCCGATGTTAGCACGGCGACTGCAGTTGGCTCCCTTCTGGAGGAGCTCGATGTCCTTGCCAAGGCCGTCGAGATCATCTCGGGAGCGAGCGTGGCGGGCAGCGCCGACAAGCACCTGCCGGCGCTGCTGCAGGTCAAGGCCCGGCCGGCGTGGGAGGTCCAGCGCCGGCATTTTGACCCGTGTGTTGACGGTTCCAGGGCCCGGTAGCGCGGCATTTGCGAACAAAAGCGCCCATCCAATGCATTCAAGAGAGAGAGAGAGAGAGAGGGAGCGATGCCCCCCCCGCCCCTCCCGCGCCACCGATTTCAATTGTCAGACTCGCGCGCAGGCCGCTTCTTGATAAGGTGGGAGTTTTTGTTCGAAACGACTTTCACTCCCCTGGTTCGACCGCCGCGAACTTTGAAATTGGGGTCTGGGGTTTGGTCCCGTGTCGGTTTATCTTCGAAACAAGCGTTTATTGTCGAGATGGCCGCAAGTGACCAGAACTTCCCGTCGTGTTCTTGCACGGCGCGAGGAGGTCAGGGGTGTGCCCCCGGACAGCCGAAGTACGAGCCGGGAGTGAAGGGCCAGTGCCCAGGCATGGGTCGAGATGTCCGCGGGTCAGCGGCCCAGAGGGGCTGGAGTCGTCGGAGGTACAGGGGTTGGGCGGGGATCGTCTCGATGGGCTCCACGATTCGAGCGGTTCTCGGCAGAAGTGGGTAGGGCGAGGGCGGCGACTTCGTACCAGGAAGCTGGATACACATGACGTGGCCAGCCTGGGCGAGTACCGGGTACACATCTTGCCGCATGTCTTTCCAGCGCTAGGACCTCGTTTGGCCAGGCATGAAGGCCTCCACGTGGTCTCCGCATGCGCGTCCAGAGCTTGGCCTCCGCATGTGCATCCAGCCAGGTGCGTTTTCAGCCTTGTGGTAAGATAGCAGGAGGCTTCTAAGCAGCGCCCCCTGCCTCCTCAGGAGGCCCTCCCTGAAGTCTCCGATCCCCCTCCGAGAGCTCCCTCTGCTTGCTCGGGCGAGGCAGCCCCCCCCGCTCCCGCTCCCTCGTCCGCGCCGCCAGATCCGATCGACCTGCAACCAGGGGCCTCCCCTCGAATAGCCACGCGGCCCGGGGGAGGGGGGAGCACAGCCTCGATCGCGCGGGGCGTGTGGATCCCCACGGGAGCCCCCCCCCCCAGAGCCCCGGCCTCGCCGACGAACGCCTGGACTCTCGGTGCCTGGGGGGGCAGGCGGCCTGTCCAGACTTCGGCCCCGTGGTCTCTCTGGCGCCAGGTCCAGCGAGGGCCCGGCCCCCTCGGGGTCCACCAGGGCTGAACCTGAACGGTGTTTTGGCGATTTCGTGGGCCGTTTTGGTTTCGACTTCGTTTTGCGGTAGGGGCGGATCGAAGACAAAAGGAGGGAAGACGAAAACAAAACGAAACCGAAAAACACCGTTTAGGTTCAGCCCTGGGGTCCACTTCGATTCGATCCGATCCGACGTCGATTTCGGCCGGCGCGAGCCGTTTCGATTCCGATTTTCCAGCGGCCCGATGTGGCCCAGTGTTTGCAGGGCGCCGTTGTGCATCGTGGCGCGGCCGATCCGATTGGATTTCAACACGCGGCCGATGTGGCCTGATCCAGCGCACATTCCGATCCGATCAGATTTCTAGATTCGATGCTGACTGATCCTGTCACTCTCTAAAGGCCGGCTTTAGCCATGGCTCTCGAACTAGGGGCGGAACGAACGGGGACGAAATCCATCGGCAGGGCGTGTTCATTTTTAGTAGGCCTCGCTGTCGGTGTAGCCGTGGGCGGTAAACATTTGGGACATACGTCGTTGCCCAGCAGCGCCCCCCCTCGGTTTTGGACAACATTTGCGGTTTGGGCATCGTTTATTTCCCAACCGCCCTGTGGTGTTGGGTCATCGTTTTGAAGAAACAGCGCCCCGCGTTCCGTCCTTTCCTTCTTTCTCCCCCTCCTCCCTCCTCCCATCCTTGCCTTTGTCCTGCATATGCCTTCATCCTTATCACCATCATGCGTACCCGCATCCGATTCGGCAAGCCCCTCACACGATTCGTTGCCCCATAGGGAGCTCTACCGCAGGCCCCATCGGCAGGGTCTTCATGGCGCACCCGCGCCCGATTCTGCACACTCCTGACACGTTCCGTGGCCTATAGGGAGCTCCACCGCAGGCCCCAGCGGCAGGGTCCGCATGGCGTACCCGCACACGGTTCAACGCACCCTCACACGTTTCGTGGCCCCATAGGGAGCTTCACCGACGGCCCCAGCAGCAGGGTGCCCATGACATACCTGCAACCGATTCGGCACAGTCCTTACATGTTTCGTGGCCCCATAGGGAGCTCCACCGCAGGCCCCAGCGGCAGGGTCCGCATGGCGCACCCGCGCCCGATTCGGCGCCACAGGGAGCTCCACCGCAGGCCTCAGCGGCAGGTTCTGCATGGCATACCCGCACCCAGTTCAGCACACCCCTCACACGTTTCGTGGCCCATAGAGAGCTTCACCGAAGTTCCCAGCGGCATAGTCCGCATGACTTATCCGCACCTGGTGCGGCACACCCCTCACATGATTCGTGGCCCCATGGGGGGCTTCCCCGACGGCCCCAGCGGCAGGTTCCGCATGCGTCTCCCCGCCTTCTTGGCACACCATTAATGCGTTTTGTGGTCCCACTGGGAGCTCCACCGACGGCACCATCGGCAGGGTCCGCATGGCGCACCCGCGCCCGATTCGGCGCCATAGGGAGCTCCACCGAAGGCCCCAGCTGCAGGGTCCGCATGGCGTATCGCACCCGATTCGGCACCCCCTTCACATGTTTCGTGGCCCCAGAAGGAGCTTCACCGAAGGCCCCAGCGGCATGGTCCGCATGGCGCACCCGCACCCGAGTCGGCACACCCCTGACACGCTAAGGGCCCAGCGGCAGGTTCAGCATGCGCCTCCCTGCCTCATCTCGGCGCACCCTTCACACGCTTCGTGGCCCCATGAGGAGATCCACCGAAGGCGATATCCACGACAGTATCCACAGCTGCATATGGTTGGGTCCTTCGCCAGGATAATTTTGACGGCCCGCGGCCTGGCAAAGGGACCCCAGGTTCCGAGAATGGCTGGAGGCTTTCTGCGGCGATTATTTCACAACCCGAACGGGCCTGGGCCCACGGGTCAGACATTCCCCCAGAACCATCCTGGGGAGCGCCTGGGCCGGAATTCCGAAGCGGACCCAGCCGCGGCGAAGCGAAAGTCCCGGGAGGCACAAACGAGCAAACAAACGCATCGCATCCTCGACACTCGAAACTCGATCATCGACGTCCGATTCTTAGGCCCGTCTCGGGGTGTCTCCTGGCTAGAAGCTTGGATGGGGGGCCGAACGATGGCCACGAGGTCGCCCCGGGAAGCCCCGAGAGAGCCCCAAAGACGCCCAGAAAGTTTTGACCTCGCGCGCGGGGCGGGGCGGGGCGTGGGGGTGCACCCGCGGCGGGCATGCGCGGCCGCGCCGCGCCATGGGCCGCCCGCGAGGTCGAGGTTCAGCGAGGCTCGCGAGCAAGCGGCCGCCCAGGAGCGGCTGCACGCACCTGCAGGCCATCGCAAGCCCTCGCGGCCCGAGGCGCTCGCCCGCGTGGCACAGGGGAGCGCGCAGACGCCGAGCAGAGGCAAGAGTGTTTTTTTCGCCTTCTCGAGCTCGGCTGCTATTTCGACAGCATCATAGCAGTGGCCAACATTATTCAGACATGTCGGCTACTAGAGAATCTACGATGACCATATGGATGTGTAACATGTGCGGCATTCGAAATAAGGCAGACGATTCGTGTTTGCAACGGGAAGGGATGCAGACATAACGACCGATGGTCGCAACAACATCAGGCGGATTTTTGTAAAAGGCGGGGGACCCAGGCACATCGCGACACGGAGTTCTGGATTTTTTCGACGAGCGCATCATGAACACCACTGATTTGCATTGACTGATCATATATTTGTGCGCCCGCCAGAAAGCCCAGCCGACGTAAGATCGCACAGCAGGACAATGGATGCTAATATCAACGAAATGGGACTTGTGTTTCTGGAGACTTAGGCGCATGGGCACTCGGCTTATTACGCAAGAGCAGGAACTATCATTACTGAAAATCAAGATGTGGCTGGTCAAACCGCGCGAGGTATGCCATAACAAATCTCATGATGCGATTGCGCGGGTCGAGGAGAAGCTAAAACTGGGGAGCTTGGCTCAAACAGTGGAGACGGACATTGTGTGCGAGAAATCGAGCCGATGCTGGCGGATCACCAGGACTTGATCTTCGAGGGGCAGGTGGGAGCGGGGAAGGTTGACGCGTCCTCAGCGGATGGCCACGGCAGGCGCAAGATGTTGCTGTCGTGGAAGTGCCGGGGGGATAATATCGAACAGGTGTGAGGCAGGCGGCGAGTATTCGGAGCCGCCGCCGCCGCCACCTCCTCCCCCAATACATGTTCCAGCAGCTATTGATGCAAGCGCCTCCGCCCAGCTGCAGTGCTAGTGCCGGTGCCAAAGCAGGCTCCCAAACCAACGTATCAGGTATGCCAGCAGACTCAGGTGCACCAGGAGGCGGTGAAGGACGTGCAGCTTTGGGATATGGAGTTGCAAGAAGGCGAGATGAAAGTAAACGTGCTTGTGTAACGCTGCCAGCATCAGGAGCTCCAGGTGCGACGGCGACGCAAACGGGATCGGTGGCACCAGGGGGTGCGACATGCGCGAGACATGGCGGAGTTGTTTCGAGCGGGACATGGACATGGGTTGATGCAGCAGCAGCAGGAGTTCGGACAAGGTCGGGCGCTGGCAGAATCACTTTGGGCTTGGAAGCGGCGTGGACATACAGCGCGGCAACAGGAGGTTCGACAGTGGCAGGCGCTGGCAGAATAACTTCAAGCACGACGCCAGCACGAGCAGCACTTGCGCAGCAGAAGGCGGCGTAGGCCCACCGCAGGGATCGTGGCGGTGAGGGCGGCGCAGAGGAGGTGCGAGGAGCAGATCAAGTGCGCGGAGCTGAAGCCGGACCTCAAAGCTGCAGCGGAGCGCGAACGGGTGGAAGCGACGTCAACTGTCTACATGTCCCACCCGCGAAGCCAGCGCGCGCAGATGGTCGAGGTCCGCGCGGCAGAGCTGAGACGGCAAGAGAACCAATGCAG